TCTTATTGGATCGATTTTAAATCTGAAAATAAACGCTCTGCACCTGCAGAGCTGTTTATGAGGCAAGTAAAGTAAATTAAAAATGAACGAGTCAGCCTTTTAAACATTGTTCATTTAAATAATTTTTCTTTAAGCTTATTTGACCCCAAAACATTTCAATATTTTCGATCACAATTTAAAAGCTGCCTGAACGCCTGAAAAGCTTGTGGCATAAGTAAAGAATACGTACAGAACCAATTAACCGTTTGAAAAATTGACCACCACGTTGGAAAGGTATTGAACATCTTTCGTTTGATATACATATTGTGTGAATTTGGGCAAGATATTTGTAGCAAAAAGATACTTAATAAAAATATAAAAAAAAAAATGTTTTTATTAGCCTAAAAAATATCAGCAATGTATTTAAATGTTATAATTCTGCTTCAAAACTCCAATTTGGACGAAATAAAATAAATATTAAACCAGCTGATTGTCCGCGAAAAAGATTGGAGTTGGTCATCTTTTCGCTTCGCGTTGCAGCTGAAACAATCTATGTGGCATGCTTTGTGCATTTTCGTACAATTTATCCTATCTGTCAAAGCGAATCTGTCATGCAAATCGAATAAAGCGTTTTATCTGGCATCAGCTTTATTAACATAGCCCATAAATATATTTTATAAAATGTATACACTTAGGTACCTTTTTATGGGATTTTTTTATGCGGAATTGAATTTATGCGGTTTTCAAACCATTTTTTTGCTGTAGCGATTTTGCTTCATTGAGAGTTTTTATAACTTTTTTTCAGTGTGTTAGAGACAATTCTTCTGATAATTAAATTTGTATTTGTATTCTTACGTAGGGATGAAACGATACGAGTAAATACAAGAACATACCGTCGCCTGGGTAAAAGGTTGAAGTTTGGAATGCAATTTCTCAAAAACGCCAAGATAGATTTTCTCCAAAGCCTCTGAAAATGTTACTACACCATTTCCAGTTGGATTTTGGAAGGCGTCAATTGGATTTTAGAATAGTCAATTGTATTTTAGAAAGCGTAAATCAGAAATCAAAGACGTGACGGAATATTAAAATTATGTAGAATAATCATATATGTAATACTCCTATATTGGCAGTAAGAGCTATGTAGTACCGTCCAAAAACACTACAGTACAGATATATCAATAAACACGTACGAAAGAAAAGGAACACATATGTTTATAAATAAACATGTACACAACACATATACAAAAACGGCACTCAAGTACACAATCCATTGACAAAAACGGTACTATGTAGACTGTCTCGCTTTGATTTCGGAATGCTTACACATTGAGAAGTTACCCTGTGGGGAAAATCTCTAGTTCTGAACTGGGGCGCTTCTAGTACATTTAGACCCAGTACTGGTTCGCGATAAATCTCTTTTGCATGCAAGCAACTGGCGAATTTAACATGGCGATGTCCTAGGAAGTGTCAATTGCCCCCCGCTGCATCCCTTTTTCGATAGTTCCGAACTAGTCCTAAATTCTATAGTTCCGACCCAGTTCTAAAATCGACAGACGAAAGAAAAAAGTATCATGATTTTTCAATCTTTTCGGTTCTTCCGTGTGCGATTTTACATTATTTTCAAAGAAACGTTTTTTCAATTTGAAATTTAATTTGTTTGAATGATTGTAAGAAATGTACGTTTACTTACCTTACTGTAGCTGACTTTGCAGAGGTGCTCGCTGTTATTGGTTAGATTCCAGATGGCCCCAAGATGTTAATATGTTAACACAAAGCTTTGTTTTGTATTACCAAACTATGAAATAGCATCTGCGAAGCACAGAATAGAAGCGTATTTGAACGAAAAAGCCGCCAGACACATATCTATGTAAAGTAAACAAGCCCCCCGCTGCATCCCTTATTCGATAGTTCCGAAATAGTTATAAATTCGACAGATAGGATCTAGTTCGTTCTGCATCCCTTTTTCTATAGTTCCGAACCATTTCTAAATTCGTCACTTTAGATATAGATTTGAAGTGAAAAAAACTGAAAAAATTAGTTTCTTAAAAGCACCACTTTTCGCCGATTTTGGACTGGTGGGGATAAAGTTCCTATCGGACTAGTTCGTTTTTGGCGATAAAGACCTAGCACGGAGCTAGAAATTTGATTCACTAGTACGCGGTTTCCATGCAGGGTAGCTTACTGCCAATATAGAAGTATTACATATATGAGAATAATGTATATAAAAAGAATATAGGCGCACAGGAGTGAAATGTAATGTAATAGTAAATGAGTAATGTAAATTGGAAGAGCAAGACAATAGTATATGTAACAAAATTCCATGTTTTACATACTTGGAAGAAATAAAATGCCATTTAAAAAAATTGTATTCACCAACTATCAAAGTTCGTTTGGCAATTGCATCCGCATAGAAAGTAGTACTGTTCGCTTAAAAGTGAATATTTTAGTAAAATTTGCATTGACAAATACCGCACATAAGAAAAAACTGGCTACCTCAAAATTTTTGTAGAAAATTCTAAAATTCACTTTACATTTTCTAAAATCCAATTTACGTTTTCTAAAATCCAGTTGACTATTCTAAAATCCAATTTACGCTTTCTAAAGTCCAGTTGAGTATTCTAAAAGCCAATTTACGCTTTCTAAAATCCAGTTGACTATTCTAAAATCCAATTGACTCTTTCTAACATCCAATTAACTCTTTCTAAAATCCAACTGGAAATAGTGTAGTTCACAAAACTCTTAAATTATTTTATTTTTAATGTTTATTGTTAATTTGTTTGGAGTTTATGAAGGATTTTCTGTAGTAAAATTTTGCCGTAATCGCCCTTTGTCCACAATTTGGCAGCCACTTTGTATGAAATACGACAAAATGTGACCAACATTTCTACTAAACTAACGACACTTTTTACTCAATATCTCGGTAACTAAAGGAGATATCCAAAAATGGAGAACACCATTTCTAAGATATTTATTAGATTAATATGACTGCATCACTAACTAAATTTTTACTAAATTATTGAAAAAATTGTAGTCAATATCTCGGAAACTAAAGGATATATCTAAAAACTGATAACAGCAATCGAAAGACCTTATTTCAAAATATATAACTGCATCTAGAACTAAAGATCGTCAAAATGGCGTTTACGATAATCTTTTACCCAGGCGACGATACTCGATACTTTTCGTTGGATACCAAGTAATTTTGGTATCGATGCTTTTGAACCAAGTAGATATCGAAAAAAAATACTCGTATCGAAAGCCGATACCAAGGCGAATTTTCTTTTGGAATTTTTTCTCCACTAATATGAATCGCCCGATGATTTATGACTGTTTAAACGATAGGGGCCTTTAAATATTGAATATGTTATTTTTTTCCTGAAACCAGTATGCAAAGAGCCTTTCTAAAAGATATTTTTGTTGTTATTGCATTAGGGAATCCATTTCCATGGTCGCAAAAACCAAAAAAAAAATTTAAGTTCATTGCACGCTGCTCTTAAGTCCAAAGAATACAAATCCAAAGCTTTTACTTTTGAACGTCGGTCTTGAGGTCAAGATAACTTTTCATTTAATTAGACCTTTAAAATGACTTTCAAAAGTAAAATTTTAGATTTTTTTGTCTTTTTTTACCTTAAAACTGGGGGGTCAAGGTTCTTGGTGCTGTTATCACTCGTGATGCAGTGCTCTGGATCAGGGGCTGTCGAACATGGGCTCTGGTTCAAATGGCGACGACATCCAAATACCCACAGACGAGGAGGAGGCGCTCTTATCGTCATAGCAGGAGGAAGCTAGTACTCCTAAAAGAAAACTCTCTCGAGCAGGTATAAACCGCTACAAATTCTACCTCTCTAGAGGTATCAGCGAAAACGATGCCAAACGGCTATCCATTATTCCGATGGCAAAAGGAAAGGCCGAACTGGCTTTTCTGGCTGGCACAAAGCTTAAGAGGAACCGATCGGTGAACCTCACATCTTTCCCGGTGGAGAACTCTCCCAAACGGAAACCAGGTCCAGCTGACAAAAGGGACCATATGGGACCAAAGGAACCTAGTGTCAAGGCAACTTTTGCCGATGTCACAAAGACGCCGAGCTTTCAGGCGGACATTGGTAATGGGGTTAGGTAAGGGTTACTCCCTAAAGGGTACCCTAAAGCACTCTGGTCCTTAGTCCAACTACAGGCCATTCAGGCGGCCATCCTGGAGGAGGTGAGGCGACAGCGAAAGGGCTCTGTGAAGCCCAAGGTTAGCGGTTGCACCTCCGTCCGGGATGGATGTCAATTGGCTGCGGAGACGCTGGAGTAGCTGCGCAAGGTATCCCGAACCCCGAAACCTTGGAAGGGCGCGGAAATTGTGGCAATGAATGCCACTGACGTGCCTAAACTCAGTGTCTACGTTGGGTACTTTCCGGAGCCATCAACCACTCCAGTGGACAGTATCCTTGGCCTTGTCGAGGGTAAGAACGAGGGGTGCGGGTAGGTAGCTGGAGGGTGCTCAACAGGGTATAGAAAGGACCCACCACTGAGCTCACTCTATCGATTGACCCGGACTCAGCGGAGACACTCGACAGGCTGGGATACCTAGTCAATTATGGATATGGCAGGGTGCGCATCCATAAGAAAGGGAAGACGACTGAGTCGTCAGACCCGGATGGTACACAGCCTGCTATAGCCAGTTCCTCCTCCACTGCACAAAGTGCTTGCATCAAAGAGGGACCTTGCGGTTCCAAGGACGTACCCAAGGGACTGCAAAGGTTACCTTCAGAGCAGTCAGGGGTAGCGGAGAAGGAAAAAGCACCTGTTCAGGAGTCCATAGAACGGCCCTGCTGCTCAGAAGACACTCCTGGCACGGAAAAGAGGGTACCTTTCCAGCCCAGAGAAATCAAAGGCCCCTTTCGCCCAAAATCCCTTCCGTCCTCCGCTAAATGCGAATCGGAGACAAGGTCGAGGGGAGATTTCGATGGAGGAGAAGACCCTGATGGCCACTAATAGGGGGAAAAAGATGGCCAAGCGGCCTTCACGGCCGAAAAATGGCAAACCCCCCAAACGCTAGGCTTAGGCACATCAAGTGCCTGCAATTGAACCTCCATGATGCAAAGGCGGCCTCTGACGTCTTATGCAGGAGGTTCAAAACAGAACTCTTGGATGTCGCATTCATCCAAGAACCGTGGGTTTTCGCCGGGGCTATTAAAGGCCTAAACGACTGTGATGGTAATATAATTTACGATACCACACACTGCAGGCCCAGAGCGGTCATATTACTACGTAATAACAAGACTTTTGTTCCCATTTCAGAGTTGACACAACAGGACTTAGCTGCTGTATGGACTAAAGTGCCCACTCAAATTGGAGAACAAGACGTCGTTCTCGCTTCATCTTACCTCCCAGGCGACAGCTGCGAGATGCCCACAAGGGAAGTAATAGCCCTAGAGGAGTACTGCAGAAGGAGAAAGCTGAAACTAGTAACGAGCTGCGACGCCAATGCCCATCACTGTGTATGGGGTAGCTCGAACACCAATTCTAGAGGTGAGTCATTTCTTGAATTTATCACTAAGAACAATTTATTTATTCTTAACCGGGGTAATGAGCCGACCGTTGTCAATGCTATAAGAGGGGAGGTTCTAGACTTGCAAATTTCCTCAAATTGCTTGTCGACCTTTATCTCAAACTGGCATGTCTCAAATGAGGTATCTATGTCGGACCACCGGCATATTCGATTCGAAGAAGCCCAAAGAGTGACAAACCATGTTTACAGAAATCCCAGAAAAACAAACTGGGAACTCTTTCGCCTCCACATAGAGCGGGAAGTGAATGGTTCTACGGCACCAATTTTATCCGTCTATAAACTTGAGGACGAGACGATAAAGTTCCAAGATGTCCTCAAACAAGGTTTTGAAGATAGCTGCCCACTGGGAACCAAGAAGTCTCAAAGGGATGTCCCTTCGTGGAACGATTCTCTCGGAAAACTAAGGAAAAGAGCCAGGAAACTTTTCAATAGGGCAAAGTCAACAGGTGACTGGACCGCCTACAAGTCAGCCCTAACCGCTTACAACTGTGAGCTCAGAAGGTCTAAAAGGGCTACGTGGCGTGAGCACTGCGGAAGTATTTCCTCTCTTCCAGAGGTGCATCGCCTTCAGAAGGCCCTTAAACTAGATCATCTGAAAGTCCTATGCACTTTGAAAAGACCAGATGGTATCTACACTGGCACCCCGGAAGAAACCAGCAGGCTTCTGTTAGAAACCCACTTCCCGGGATGTATTCCCCAAGGCACATGTCTTTCAACAAACACGGCGAATGCTGTGTGCGCAAACAGGAGGACAAGAGGCCTAGCAGGAAGAATCGTCAGTGTGGAAAAGATACCGTGGGCCATTAGTGCATATAAATCCTCTGGTCCAGATGCCCCCATGCCTGCTGCAGCAGAGCTTGGACTTAATATCTGGGCCACTAGTTAGATTGCTGAGAGCAAGTCTCTTACTTGCTCACATACCAACAACATGGAGTGAAGTCAAAGTGGTCTTTATACCCAAAGTGGGGAAAAACTCAGCACAACTCCCAAAGGCGTATAGGCCAATTAGCCTCAGTTCCTTTCTAGTAAAGACATTAGAAAAACTTATTGACTTTCACATAAGGGATAACTTTCTCAGGAATAAGCCTTTGTGTCAGAAACAGCACGCATACCAGGCAGGCAAATCTACTATTACTGCAATACATAGCCTAACTCAAGTCATTGAAAAGGCATTGCGGTATAAACAGATAGCTTTGTGTGCATTCCTGGACCTGATATGCTTTCGACAATACGTCTTATGAAGCAATATCGACAGCTATGATACGAAAGGATATTCCTGGCCTTCTAACGGATTGGATCATAAGCATGTTGAAATCCAGAACTATAATAGCGGAAATAGGAGACAATAGGCAAGCAGTAACTGCCACCCGTGGCTGTCCTCAAGGGGGAGTCTTCTCGCCCCTACTTTGGACACTGGTTGTTGACGAACTTCTCGAAAAGCTAAATGGCAATGGATTCAAGGCATATGGATATGAAGATGACCTAGTCATCTACGTTGTCGGCTGGCATGAGGACACAATTTGTTCCAGATTGCAAGCTGCGCTCAGTTTAACGGAAGACTGGTGTGCTTCAAAGGGATTGTCAATAAACCCGCAGGCGAACCCGTTCTACTGTTTTGCCAGACGGCCAGGCCACTTGCTCACTTTGTTGAATACCACTAATGTAATCAAAAATAAATTTTGTGTACCTTTCTTAAAATGTCATACTCATGTAAGGCAAAAAAGCCACATTCTCCGCCCTTTGAAGTTTTGCCAGGGGCGATCGTTGCCCTGAAAACCATATGGTTTCTTAAAACGAATATATTATCCAATGGGGGGAGCTAGACAAGGGCAAGAAGGAAAAAACATGCCCTTTGCAGAGTTGAGTGTAAGATCAAACATATTTTGCACCGTAGAAGGCCAACAATTTTTGGGAGAAACGAAATCACCATTAATGTTTGCTTAAGTATTTCACTACTACGTACACACTGCGGTTTTCTATACATACAAATTTTCGTAGCGCTTTTTTCGAAACTGGGCATTTATTTTTTCTATTAAAAAAGACCGAATTATAATCACTTTTTTTTAAAGGTAGAAAAGGCAAAAAAAGGCAACATCTAATGTATATATGTACATATATGGAATCAGGGAAAGCTAAATCGTGGACATTCTTAATCGAATATACTCTATCCCATTAGCAGAAAAAAGGCAATTTCCATAAAATCCGTTCCCTGGTGATTACTTATACTGGGGCGAAGTCGATAAGGCTCTTTGTTTTCGGTGGAGTTCTTGTGAAGGCTTACTTATCCAAATGTGATCAAACATATGTATGTGCCTTCTTTGGTCACCAATGCATTAAAATCACAAACTCGCTGCTTTGTCTCAGCGTCCTCCCCGTCCATTGAGACGTGCGTACAAATTAGGCTAAATGCTAAAATAGCATTCTTCACAACAAACATGTCACACTACTTTTATCTGATTTATGCTGAAAATTGGGCTGGGTGCCACAAAAAACCACCTGCTTTTATCTAAGTTGGCAGACATTATGGATTTGTGAAATACCTTTGTGATAGACGGTGAGTCAGCCACGTAGCCACGTATGTAGCTATGTTATAAAAAGGGACAGCTTGGAGAATATCGTGTTTTCCATGGTAAGCAGGATTGCACTTGGACTCCTTAGAGTTCCGCGCTGCTGTTTCTATACAAATGTTAAGTCTAACTACATATATGTGTAAAGAAAGTATATATACATTTGCAATTATCAACATTTTAGAGCAATGATATGTATAATATAAATATGTTTGCATGTATTTATTTACATATGACTGCATATAAGACGATATGTATGTAGTAGGTACGTATTCTTTACAAATGCAGAAAGTAAAAACTGACAGTAAGAGAACTCGTTCAACCCACATTATAGACGCTTCTCAGTTCGTCTGCAATCCACTATATGCCAAATGGCGATCACTACAAGATCCATCCACAAAGAATGCTGTGGCATGCAAACATCCATACATACAAATCTACATTAGGGTAGTATAATATTTTCTTTTTCCAGCCACACGCCAGAACTGCAGAATATCGAATATAACGAGACCCATTTTGGGATCGCCGAACTATTTCGAGACTAGCTGAGGACTATTTTTAGAACATTCCGGGACTGGTTCGGATTCATTTTAGGGCTAGTGTATGGTCATTTTGAGAATCATTTAGAATGATTTTGAGCCTGGTTAAGGAGTCTTTTAGGACCATTTCGAGATAGTTTGCATTCATTTTGGGCCTAATAGCGGGCCATTTCGAGGCCGCTTTAAGTCTTGCTCGAGATTTTTTCGGGACCATTTGAGGCTACTTCAAGACTATTTCGGGCTGGTTATGGTTCATTTCGCCGTAGTTCACGCACATTTTTGGATGATTTTAAAGTTAAATTTCCATCATAATTTTATTTTTGGAAGATTTCTGAAGGCAAATATTCGTATTCCATGAAAAAATAAAATTCAAAAATGTTGCTTTTTGAACCATTCTAATGTACACACATACGTATTTAGTATGTAGTTATGTATATTCATGCGTATGTGCAGTGCTCTTTTCACGAATTTACAGCGTTTTCCATCGCAACAACAATAATAACATTTGCATATAATTACTGAATGTGAAAACGCCGACAATTCTGGATGTTTATGCGATTGTTGGAAAAACTTTGTGTACATCCATGCCTACATTGCGTTCGTATGTGTGTGTGTGTTGCTATCAGATCGGAGTGATTTTCTTTGATATTTTGGAACGTGTGCCGAGCAACATACCGCCAGTTGGAGGACGAACGTTGAAGCTTCTGGTACACTGCACAACAAAGTGTGAAAACTAAAATATAATTCGCTTTGTCAGTACAGGAAAAAAAATACTTGGTGAAAATGAGTTCCGTGGTGAGTTTTTTTTGGATTTCCTTATAATGTTTCGCATTGGTGATTTCTTTTAAAAAGAAGATGTGTACATTTATTGATTCGTATCCTTGTTTTGCAGGATGAAGATCTGACACCTGAGCAAATTGCAGGTTTGTTTTTCGACATAAATATCGTGTTTTCTTAAAGTGATGTGAATACTTTTTTAGTGCTCCAGAAAGCTTTTAATAGCTTCGACCACCAGAAAACCGGTAGTATCCCTACAGAAATGGTGGCGGACATTCTACGTTTGATGGGCCAACCCTTCGATAAGAAAATTTTGGAGGAACTCATCGATGAAGTTGATGAAGATAGTAAGTGATTAAATACTTTTGATTTCAAATTTTCAATTTTTGTATGAGACTATAGTTCCTACAAATTTATTTAGAGTTTTATTTTTAGGATTATAAAATACTTTTTTTTCAAATTTAGGCGTTACTACGGATACCAAATAGAAAAAGATATCAACTTAAGGAAAAAAGGAATGTATTTTATCAAAGCCATGACTTTTTTATTTTCAATTTTTGAATTTACCTGAGGGCGCTTGGAAAAATTGCGAAATATCATAAAAAAGCCCAAATTTGTTCATTTCTTTTCGCCTTCAAAAAAAATACAAAAAAAATTTTTAAATCTTGAGGAATATAGATACACATGCACATATGTATGTTCTGCAATGAGAGAGGAATAATTTAGCGCAAACAGGTTTTTTCACATGTTTTTTTTTTAGATTTCAAAATCTAAAAATAACTTTTAAATAAAAATATAAAAAAACTTCAACAAAATCCATTAATTTTCGCTTCGACGAAAAAATTTGTGTATCCTAATCATTTTATTGTATCTGTAAAGAGTAAAAGTCATGATTCACATACATATGGATGTGTATGCTTACGTTTGTACGTGCATATTAGGGTGCTCCTTAAAATTCCAACAACTAAATTTTATTTGGGGAATCGTTCTATTTACAAAATAAAGATATTCACGAAAGTTTTAAAGTTTTCAAATAAATTTAAAGGTCACTACCAGGGTTTTAAAAAATTTAAATCTGTTAAAATTTACATATTATTGAAAATTATTCATATTAATTCATAGTCATGCAATATTAGGCTCCATATACTGTCCTTTGTTTATTTTTATTTTTATTTTTTTTTCGGAATAAGCACTTAAAATTTTTCTCTAAGCTCCAAGTTCACAAATACATAGATATCCTGAAAACTACGAACAAGCTCATATATAGAGGAGAGTTAATATGGCCTACCAGAGCACAAAACGAATTCTTTTAGTAAGATATGGCAACTTTGTAAAATTTTAATATTTTCAAACCCCGGTAGCGATCCTTAAAAATTATTTTAAACTTCTTTAAGGAACACCCTAATACATATGGCACTTTTTATACATACATATGTATATATAGATATTTTTAATGTGCTATCGTTCTTGTCTGGTTCCGATCCATGGAAAAATTTCAAGTTAAACTATCTTCTAAGGATATTGAGGGATATAAATTTCAAAGGACATCTTTCAACAACTTCAAACCGAAAGATCGTTAGTAAAAACCTTTTTTTGATTTTGCCTCACATTCATTTTTGGCTTAATACTCGTGTTGTCATGCATATAATGTACTCTTATAGATTTACTCGAAAACTAAGAGCCCCCTCCCCCCCTTACGTTATCCTCATTACAGTTTTTTTTGTTTTGGAAAATCAGTTCCATTTGAGCAAACTATATAAGTAAATAATTTATTTTTATTAACTTATGTATTATTTAGTCATTCCTCTAAGGATGATTTAGTTTTATTTTCTGTTAACTGAGAGTTTTTTGCTTAATTTTTTCGTTTCCAGAATCAGGTCGTTTAGAGTTCGAAGAGTTCGTACAACTGGCTGCCAAATTTATCGTTGAAGAAGATTCTGAAGCTATGCAAAAGGAATTGCGCGAAGCCTTCCGTCTTTATGATAAACAAGGCAATGGCTTTATTCCCACATCTTGCTTAAAAGAAATTCTGAGAGAGTTGGACGATCAATTGACCGAAGCAGAGCTTGATATTATGATCGAGGAGATCGACTCGGATGGCTCTGGCACAGTGGACTTTGATGGTAAAAATATTGCTAAAAATCTGAACGTACTAGAGGTTGGATCTGTTTGTGTGTGTATGCGAGTGGGTCTTACGCGCTTCTAGAAGTAAGGTCATTCCATAAACTAACTTCTCCAGAAAAATAGACGATTCTACGGATTTGTAAATGGTCAAGTGCGTGTTGGGGGCAAAATGGAATTTTGGTTGAGCTCGGGTAGAAGGGAAATCAAAAGTTCAGGTTTCAGCACCAATTTTTGTCCGAAAAATTATGAGCGAAACAAGTTCAACGGTAAAATTATTAAATAAAAGTTATAAACAACGGCATTTAGTATGCCTCTAATTAATACACATATGTATGTATATAGGATACATATACAATATGCATACATAGTACGTATCTACATGTTTTACGAGCGACACTTTTATTGCCTCCGAATTTCGATTGAACACTGTCATCAGAAACAGCAACGGTTCATGTCGCCGGATGCGTAGGTGTTTTTGGACTGTACAATTTTCGTTTTGTTAATTAGCGTAGTTTGACTAATTAAAAACAGTTGATGTGTTGGGAAACAAAAATTAAGTGTATGTTAGCACCCGATGAGCAATAGATATTGAATTATTTTTGCTAGATTTTCTAGACATTTGGCTGTGCGACTTTTTTGCAGTAGATATCCAAAATTGTCAGTGGGCGTGAAAAATTGATGGAACTTTTCTTTCAAGATATATGTATGTGCATATATTCTTATGTACATACATTAGTATTGCTATGAATTTTTATTAGATTTCATAGATTTCACTAGTCAGGATTTATTCCAGAATCAAATCTTATTTAGATCGCTGATTCCGAGCATATTGTGTTACCACTTAATAGATTTTCTTGGAATGATAAATTCAGGAAACCCTCATGAAGTTTTTAGGAAAAATTCTTGTTGGTAACAATGAATTTCCGAAGGCAATTGATGTCGACCCCCAAAGAGTTCAGCTAACTCATTAGGGTAGCAAGAATATTAAGCCGCAGTATGCACGGGTTTCCACCAGTCAGAAGGACTTTGCTATGACTTAAAGCGTTCAAAGAGAAGCTCCCAGCTGCCCCTCTCCTTTGCGGATTTGCGCCAGTTGTTCATCCCAAGTGCGGACAGGTCTCTTCATTATACTCGTGGGCGCCCTTGCTCTATTATTATCGCCTCGTATAGCAGTCTGGATATCGAAAGCGAAGTTTTTGTCCTTAAAAGCCTTCTTTATTAACAATTGTATGAAAAGCAGATTGTACTGCCCTTCAGGCAGGCATATAAATAAATTTTTAGTTTGGTAAAATAATTTTTAGATGGTTTTTTTAAGATAAAATTTATACCAGGAAAAAAATTAATTAGCATTTTATAAGCGACGTGCTTATAATGAAATAATTTCAGTACAAATTTATACGAAAATTTATAATTATACTAGTAGCGGAACTACTAAGAGTGGAATTGTTTTTTTATCCGAGTGCTTTAATGCGGGAAACACTGCAGAAACACACAGACTTGCATATGTATGTATAAGTGAAACCATTTGTACACAGGCACATATTTAGATATGTGTATACATTATGGTGATCCAAAAAAGTAATGCTCTCACCCCTAGGTGGGTTCTATAACGAAAAATTATACCCCTTTCTTAATTTGAGATAAAAAAATATTTAGAGGCAGGCCAAAGAGCTCAAAGTTTTTCTTGTATTGTATACGAAAAAACAGTTTTTCGTAGAATTCTTGAAAATCAATACTTTCCGAGCGGAAAACTCTGTTTATTTAACCAGTTTTTAATATCAACTCTTTGTTATAGGTCCCCCAAAAAACCTAAAAAATGCAACGGGGGACTCATAAATAATCTTTAGCATTAAAAAATGGTGAAATAAACAATTGCCTATTATTATTGGAAGTCTCCTTATTTCTCACAAAGGTTTTCGATCGAATAATATTGATTTTCAAGAATTCTATACTATTTCTGCGAGAAATTGTTTTTTTTTTCATATAAAATTAGATCGCTGTCACTCGCTTCGCTGAGTTTATGACATTTCTGCGTGCTACATTAGGTGTAATTTATTTTATTTAAACTCAACAAACTTAAAATATGCGAAAATCAGGAGACTTTAAACTTTTTAAATATCTTCAAAATTTTCTCTCTTGTGATACTTTTTCATACTTATGTACATGTAGTTTAGAAATGAAGCCATTTAAAAATCATTTCGATTGATACCCATATTATAATAATTCATTGAAATGATTGAAAATTTTTAATTTTAATTTTTAAACTGTTAATTACTATAATTCAAGTTGAATTTGAATTTTCAAACCTGTGGAGTTCCTGCTACACATATGTTGCTAAGAAATAAAGCCATTTCACGACTTCCGATTAAAACCTAGATTGTAATAACTCATTAAACTCATTAAACATAATATCATTGTATTCGAACTTAGATTTAAAACAGGTGGCAACCCTCTTCAAAAACCTCAATAATCTCTACATGTTCAAGCTGAACATTTCTAATTTAAACTCGACTTTTAAAACAGGTGGCAACCCTCTTCGAAATATTTTCCTATTAAACCCCTATTAATTCCCTCTTATCTGACGTCCATATTGTGATACATTCCAATTATAAAATTCCTTTAATTCAAAAGAATTTGATTTTCAAACAGCTGCCCATCCTCATACATGTAGGTTAGAACTAAAACCCTTATCAAAACCCTTTCGATTGATACCCATATTGCAGTAGTTCATTTAAATTAAATTAATTAAATTTTTAAACGGGTGGCACCGCTTGTAAAACATCTCAGCAATATTTTAAATGTTTAATCTGAAGGTTTCTTAGCAATCTTTCATTAGACACCCATACATTAATTGTTCAGATAGCTTGCTAATAATTAATTTAAATTTATCTTTTCGAACAGGTGGCAACCCTTTCCAAAATACTTTCAAACTACACCTTTTTAAGCCTATTGTCATCCATTCTTTAAAATAATTTTCAAATGAATTATTCCCTTAATTCAAGTCGAATTTATCTGTATCTATAATATTTATATAAATCTATACCAAGTTCCTGTACTCTATCAAAAATACTTTTTGATATATGATGTGCGGTATGAAAACTCCGATTTATGGGAAGTGCAGGGGTATATTTTTCTGGTATAGGGGGTGAGAGCTTTAAAATTCCGACTTTACTTTTTTTTGGACCACCGCAGTATACATACATATCTTCAGTATGGCATACATATTTTTATTTATTTATTATAGGATATACGATACGTACTTACTCACTAATGTACAAACAATTTTACTTTATTATTGCAGAGTTCATGGAAATGATGACAGGAGAGTAAAATTAAATTCGAAAGGGTGTGTATTGTCGTCGTCTCTAAGCTGTCCGATTGATCTTTGGGATATACTGCGAAGACGCAAATAGAAAGTTGCATAATTGCTTTCCAAGCACTGGCGGGTGTCAATCATTTACTCATATACATATTCAATATATAAATTTGTACATAATATGTACGTATACTGTTGAGGCTTCAGTTGTTATACTAACCATTGTCTCTCATAGAAAATTAAATATTTTGGGTTTAAGATTTCGCTATTTGTTTATTTGTATACTGAAATTTTGGTAATCATACTTTAAACGTATACAAACACCCATATATATAAAATATTGTATGTATTTACTTCATACGCCATAAACATGTCTTTGGTGTTCACCAAATATGTTGCCCATAAAACTAAAAAACTTACGCATTTAAAATAAAAAGATTTTAATTGAAAATAATTTTTATTTTACCCCAGCGGTTGAAATTCAATCTTTTAAATTAAGGGGAGTTGAGGTGGGCTGAGCTGAGCCCAGCTGGGTTTAGCTGAGTTGATTGAAGTGAATTGGGTGAAATGCGTTGAAAAACATAACACAACACAACACAACACAACACAACACAACACAACACAACACAA